TCTAGAAGGCATCTCTCTCTATTCGAATGTGCCTTCGAATTTTACTGTCATTTTTCCGTCGTCTCTGAACTCTTCAGTAAATGCAGTAGATGTCGATTGCATGAGTTTACTTAGTAACATCAATGCGGTCACCCGTCTTACCTATTACCAGATTGATATTTGCTTAACTTGAAAATCAGATAAAAATCGATGTTGATGAACTTTATCTTTTAAGCCTATTTGCTTTAGTCATGAGCAAGGCATTACTTGGTATTCAAAACTAGTTACCTATCTTTGTTGTGATCAGGATGGACATTGCTTAACTTCAAGGGCCGACGCATTCAAAATGAATGACCGTTAATCTTTATCATAGATTTGATTAGTCTGGTACAAGTTACTTTGGAACTCTAAAATCGTCACCTGTCTTAGTTATGACCACGTTGGACTTTGCTTAACTTCAATGATCAGACAAGACACGACTCTCTCAAAATGATTGACCGTTATCTTTTAATCTTTATCATTAGATTTGATTAGTCTGGTACAAGATTTTGGAAGACTAAAATTGTCACCCGTATTAGTTATGACAAGGTTGAACTTTGCTTAACTTCCAGAATCAGATAAGAAACGATGCTCTCGATGTTATTGACTGTTATCTATTAAGCCTATTTGATTTTGTTATTAGATTTCTTTCAATTGTCGCAATGTATCGGTTGGTACTCAAACTTGGTTACCTACCTAAGTCATGACCAGGTTAGACTTTGCTTAACTTCAGTGATCATGCAAGTATATCTATACTGAACATGATGTGACCTTAAGAGACTTCAGACTTTTTATTTCTAATTATTTTCCAGATATTTATTTTTATTTCCAGATATTCGTTTTAGCCATCAGATTTTTCTCATACTGGTACAAGGCAAAACAGTTACCCATTTATTTATGGCCAGGTTGACATTGCTTAACTTCAATGGACAAACAGCTCTCTCGACGTTATTAATTGATGAATTCTCCGCCGATTTGCTTTAGTGGTTATATTTCTTCAAATTGGCACAAAGCATTAGTTATTATTTCAAAGAGGTCACCCGCCTAAGTCACGATCAGATTGGACCTTGCTTAACTTCAATGTTCTGAGAAGAATCGACACTTTCAACGTGAAATTATAAATTCAGTATATTTATTTAGTCTTGTACAAGGAACTATGGAACTGCAAAAATGTCACCCATTTCTGTTATGACCAGAGTGGAACTTGCTTAACATCAATGTTCTGAGCTTATCATTTAATATTTACACATTAGATTTGCTTAGTCTTGAAAGGACATTAGAAAGCGGACACCAGTCTTACTTATGGCCTGACTGGACTTTGCTTAACTACAATGCTTAAACATATATTTGTTAGTTTCATTAGTTTTGTTTAAACTGAAACACGGTCATTGATATTTCAAAGCGGATACCCATCTTAGATATGATCAGGTTGGATGTTGCTTAACATTCAGAAATAATTGAATCAATCTATACTATGCAGGACATTACAAATTGGTCACCCTTCATAATTATGTCCAGACTGGACTTTGCTTAAATTCAATGTTTAAACATATATTCGATTCTTTGGTCACCACTTTTAGTTATGACCAGGTTGGATGTTGCTTAACTTTAAGAAATAATTGAATCAATATATTCTATTTAGGGCATTACAAAGCGGTCACCCGTCTTAATCATGACCAGATTGAACTTTGCTTAAATTCAATGCTTAAACATATATTCATTTCTTTGATTATTTTTTTATAAGCAGGAACACGGTGATCCTTATTGTTTCAAAGCGGTCACTCCTCTTAGTTATGACCAGGTTGGATGTTGCTTAACCTTAATAAATAATACAATCAATATATTCTATCCAGGCCATTAGAAATCGGTCACCCGTCTTAATTATGACCAGAGTGAACTTTGCTTAAATTCAATGCTTAAACATATATTCGTTTCTTTGGTTAATCTTGTGTAAGCAGGAATACGGCTATTCCCTATTATTTTAAGTCGGTCACCACTTTTAGTTATGACCAGGTTGGATGTTGCTTAACTTTTGAAAAATAATTGCATCAATATATTCTATCTAGGGAATTAGAAATCGGCCACCCGTCTTAATTATGTCCAGATTAAACTTTGCTTAAATTCAATGCTTAAACATATATTCGTTTCTTTGGTTAATCTTTGTAAGCAGGAATACGGCTATTCCTATTATTTTAAGTCGGTCACCACTTTTAGTTATGACCAGGTTGGATGTTGCTTAACTTTTGAAAATAATTGCATCAATATATTCTATCTAGGGAATTAGAAATCGGCCACCCGTCTTAATTATGTCCAGATTAAACTTTGCTTAAATTCAATGCTTAAACATATATTCGTTTCTTTGGTTAATCTTGTGTAAGCAGGAATACGGCTATTCCCTATTATTTTAAGTCGGTCACCACTTTTAGTTATGACCAGGTTGGATGTTGCTTAACTTTTGAAAATAATTGCATCAATATATTCTATCTAGGGAATTAGAAATCGGCCACCCGTCTTAATTATGTCCAGATTAAAATTTTGCTTAAATTCAATGCTTAAACATATTCGTTTCTTTGGTTAATCTTGTGTAAGCAGGAATACGGCTATTCCCTATTATTTTAAGTCGGTCACCACTTTTAGTTATGACCAGGTTGGATGTTGCTTAACTTTAAGAAATAATTGAATCAATATATTCTATCCCAGGTATTATAAATCGGTTACCCGTCTTAATTATGGCCAGTTTGGACTTTGCTTAAATTCAAAGTTTAAAAATATATTCGATTCTTTGGTTAGTTTTGTATAAGTAAGAGCACGGCTATTATTATTATTATTTCAAAGTGGTCACCGTTCTTAGTTATGACCAGGTTGGATGTTGCTTAACTTTAAGAAATAATTGAATCAATATATTCTATTTAGGGCATTACAAAGCGGTCACCCGTCTTAATCATGACCAGATTGAACTTTGCTTAAATTCAATGCTTAAACATATATTCATTTCTTTGATTATTTTTTTATAAGCAGGAACACGGTGATCCTTATTGTTTCAAAGCGGTCACTCCTCTTAGTTATGACCAGGTTGGATGTTGCTTAACCTTAATAAATAATACAATCAATATATTCTATCCAGGCCATTAGAAATCGGTCACCCGTCTTAATTATGACCAGAGTGAACTTTGCTTAAATTCAATGCTTAAACATATATTCATTTCTTTGGTTAATCTTGTGTAAGCAGGAATACGGCTATTCCCTATTATTTTAAGTCGGTCACCATTTTTAGTTATGACCAGGTTGGATGTTGCTTAACTTTTGAAATTAATTGCATCAATATATTCTATCTAGGGAATTAGAAATCGGCCACCCGTCTTAATTATGTCCAGATTAAACTTTGCTTAAATTCAATGTTTAAACATATTTGTTTCTTTCATTAGTTTTGTGTAAATAGGAACACGGCAATCATTATTATTTCAAAGCGGTCACTCCTGTTATTTATGACCATGTTGGATGCTGCTTAACTTTAAGCAATAATTGAGTCGATACATCCTAGTCAGGTGTCTGTTCCTGATTTTGTGCTTTCTTCTGTCCATTCTAAATTTTACCAATTCCTCGGAATATTTTTACGTTATGTTTTTCCATCTTTTTTCCAAATCAGAATGGCAGTTGAAGACAATAAAAGAAAAGATATTCTCTATCTCTATTTATTCAGCTCGCTTTCTCCCCTTCACCCCCCCTCTCTGTCTGTCTCTCTCTCTCTCTCTGTATGGCTTTCTCTTCACTCTCCTCTCGAAATCTGCATCGAGTATCCTTATTTATTTATTTCGTCTTTTTTCTTCTTTCTCTTCTCCCTACTCACTCGTTAATGCTTCCAAAACATTGTCTCTTTTCCTCAGTTGATTCGAGTGTATGGTCTCATTCTCCCTCCCTCCTCACTCACATATTTTATTTCTCTCTCTCTCTCTCTCTCCCTGATACTTGTCAAAACCATTTCTTTTTTACTCTCTCTCTCTCTCTCTCTCTCTTTTCTTTGTTTTCTTTTCGAGGATTCTGATTTTTTTTCTTTTTCTTGTTGAGAAACAAATGAGAATTTTTCGATTCATTGTTCTTCTCTTTTAACATCTCTCTCTCCTTTTCTTTATCTCTCTCCTTTTCTTTATCTCTCTCCTTTTCTTTATCTCTCTCCTTTTCTTTATCTCTTTCTTTTTACTCTGTATTGTGTCCAGTATAAAAACCATACCCTTTCTTTCTTTTTTACGCTTCTTCAAATTTTTCTTTCTTTCTTTCTTTCTTTCTTTCTTTCTTTCTTTCTTTCGTTTTCAATGCCTTTCTTTCTTTTTTAATGTCTTTCTTTCTTTTTTCAATGCCTTTCTTTCTTTCTTTCTTAACGTTTTTCTACAATGGATATCTTTATTTTTTTAATACTTTTCTTTCTTTTTCAATTCCTGTTTTACTTTCGTTCTTTTTCTATTCAATGCTTCTTTCTTACTTTCTTTCTTACTTTCTTTCTTTTTTCTTTCTTTCTTTCTTTAATGAATTTATTTCTTTTCTCAGTACCTTTCTTTCTTTCTTCCTTTCTTTCTTTCGTTTTCAATGCCTTTCTTTCTTTTTTAATGTCTTTCTTTCTTTTTTCAATGCCTTTCTTTCTTTCTTTCTTTCTTTCTTTTTTTCTTTCTTTCTTAACGTTTTTCTACAATGGATATCTTTATTTTTTCAATACTTTTCTTTCTTTTTCAATTCCTGTTTTTCTTTCTTTTTTTCGTTCTTTTTCTATTCAATGCTTCTTTCTTTTTTCTTTCTTTATTTCTTTCTTTAATTAATTTATTTCTTTTCTCAATACCTTTCTTTCTTTCTTTCTTTATTTCGTTTTCAATGCCTTTCTTTCTTTTTTAATGTCTTTCTTTCTTTTTTCAATGCCGTTCTTTCTTTCTTTCTTTCTTTCTTTCTTTCTTTCTTTCTTTCTTTCTTTCTTTCTTTCTTAACGTTTTTCTACAATGGATATCTTTATTTTTTCAATACTTTTCTTTCTTTTTCAATTCCTGTTTTTCTTTCTTTCTTTCGTTCTTTTTCTATTCAATGCTTCTTTCTTTTTTCTTTCTTTTTTTCTTTCTTTAATTAATTTATTTCTTTTCTCAATACCTTTCTTTCTTTCTTTCGTTTTCAATTCCTTTCTTTCTTTTTTAATGTCTTTCTTTCTTTTTTCAATGCCTTTCTGTCTTTTTTCAATACCTCTCTTTCTTTCTTTCTTTCTTTCTTTCTTTTTTTCTACACTTTATATTTATTTCTTCCTTTCTTTCTACACATTACTTTTCTTTCTTTCTTTCTTTTTTTCTTTCTTTCTTTCTTTCTACACTTTATATTTATTTCTTCCTTTCTTTCTACACATTACTTTTCTTTCTTTCTATCTTTCTTCCTGGCTTTATTTATTTATACACGTTACCATTCTTTCTTTTCTTCTTTCTTTCTACACGTTATCTTTCTTTCTTTTTTTTTTCTTTCTTTCTTTCTTTCTTTCTTTCTTTCTTTATTTATTTATACACGTTACCATTCTTTCTTTCTTTCTTTCTTTCTTTCTATACTCCGCCTTTCTTTCTTACTTTCTTTCTTTCTTTCTTTCTTTCTTTCTTTCTTTCTTTTCTTTTTGTATACTCCGCCTTTCTTTCTTTCTTTCTTTTCTTTTTCTTTCTTTCTTTCTTTCTATACTCCGCCTTTCTTTCTTTCTTTCTTTTTTCTTTCTTTCTTTCTTTTCTTTCTTTTCTTTTCTTCCGTTCCAATCCTCATCTGTGTCTTTCCTTCATTTTCTCCCTGTATAAATGTCGATTTTGTCGTCCATCTCCAAACTCCAACCCATCTTTCTTTCCGCTCATTCATTAATTCTTCCTTCACTCCATCTCAGCTACGGTTTTACGAGCCAATCTCAGTCAGCGAGCATGCACGAAGAACCCTCCCCCAACGCCTGCGACTTTCTTTCTTATTACTCTCTCTCTCTCTCTTCATCCTCATCTTTCTTCTTGTTTACCTTGCGTTGAAGCCTCATCCGGCGTTCCACTATCTTCAGTCAGCCAAAAACGGAGAACCACGGACTGTAGCCAGAGATAGATAGATAGATAGATAGATAGATAGATAGATAGATAGATAGATAGATAGATAGATATGAATAGGCTAATGGAATATATACAGATACCTATGAAGAGACTGATAGATAGATAGATAGATAGATAGATAGATAGATAGATATGAATAGGCTAATGGAATATATACAGATACCTATGAAAAGACTGATAGATAGATAGATAGATAGATAGATAGATATGATAGGCTGAAATATAGGTAAATATGAATAGTGTGAAGCAGATAGAGGGATAGATAGATAGATATGAATAGGCAAATAGAATATATATATATATATATATATATATATATATAGAGAGAGAGAGAGAGAGAGAGAGAGAGATACTGTATAGGCTCTGATAGGCAGAGAGAGAAACAGATATCTATCTATCTATCTATCTATCTATATATTCTATCAACTTATTCATATAGATTGATATATAGATGTTCTTTTAGCATATTCATGTCAACCTAACTACCTCTCTCTCACACACACACACTCTCTCTCTGTATATATATATATATATATATATATATATATATATATATATATATATTCTATCAGCTTATTCAGATAGATAGATAGATAGATAGATAGATAGATAGATAGATAGATAGATAGTTTTCCTATACAAATATCACATAAGCCCCGCTCATTCGATCACTCACGCACTCACTTTCACGCACACGCGCACGCACGTTCGCAATGACACAACAATCTGTAGAACATAGTGGAGAGCAGAACTTAGCGAGTAAGTGAGACAAAAAAGTAGGCACCCACCTCCTCCACTTATATTTGCTAATATCCACACGCGCACGTGAATACGAAGACATGTACGCCTTTTTAGGATTTTGCCTCGCCGTTCGTTAGGATTTTCCGAGCATTTTAACATGTCATGTCAATTTTTGGAATATACCCGAACAACGCCGGCAACGAAGAAGGGGCCATATTATTACTTATTTTGCTCCCGTGGCTGTCGTGAGGTGATTTCACACAGTAGCGTGTATTCTTTATTCTTTCTTTAAAAATTTCTGGTTTTGTGTTTGTATTCGTGGTCATATATGTTTTCGCTTTGTACTTCTAATCTTCTGCGCGGTCATTCTTTCGAAAAACTTGTCTTTCCCCCTCCTCTCACTTCATATTGGAAAGTGCCTTTGCTTTGCGACACGACGTCTATTCAATAGTCGTAAAAAACTGCACACATAACACCTGTCATTTTTCTTCCTTTCTTTCTTTATTTCTTTCTTTCTTTCTTTCTTTCTTTCTTTATTTCTTTCTACGGAACTCTTGTAGGGTACTATCGTCGAGAAACAAATATAGATAAACACACACACGAATATCTATCTATCTATCTATCTATCTATCTATCTATCTATCTATCTATATATATATATATATATATAGAGAGAGAGAGAGAGAGAGAGAGAGAGCGATGTGCATATAACGTTGCATACATCCTAATAATAATTTGCATACAAACATATATATATATATATATATATATATATATATATATATATATAGATAGATAGATAGATAGATAGATAGATAGATGGATAAAATCTACAAATAACAACACCTTGTCACATCAAAGATAATTTACCAAAATGTGCAACCGAACGAAAAAAACATTATAAATTGTAATATTCCTCCAAAATATTTATTCAAAATCGTATTTCTAATAACCAATTCATAAGATGAAATATTCACATACATTTACTTACCTGTGAAGTACATACTCCAGATATTGTTTACGCATATGAACCTAATATAATTACAGTATATCTGTACATATATAAGCACACACACATATATACATCTATCTAACTATCTATCTATCTGTCTGTCTATCTATCTATCTATCTATATATATATATATATATATATATATATATATATATATATATATATATACAATGATATCGATCGCTTGTTACTTCTACAAAAATATATGCTAACGTATTTACGGGAATAATTATATAAATATACAAAACACACACATTTATATTATATATATATATATATATATATATATATATATATATATATATAGATAGATAGATAGATAGATAGATAGATACATGTAAATATTTGTTTAAAGATTCACATATAAAGAAAAGCATCTGCAAAGATATTAAGTAACGAAGACCTCTTCTCTTATGCCGAGGCGTTTCGCTCCTTGAGGAAATTTATCTAGACAAATACACTTATATGTATTTAGCTATAAATATATACGCATATTTTAATATCTAAGCAATGAAAGCGTATAAATATACAAGACATATCTCCGTGTTATAAATATATATATCTATCTATCTATATATATATATATATATATATATATATATATATATATGTGTGTGTGTGTGTGTGTTTATGGGATCCAACTTATACTGTAATATCTTCATTGTAGGTATGTGTATAGATATAAATTTATTAGCGTAAGGACGCACGGGGCCTATTTCCAAATCGATACATTGTTCGAGATATTGACGAATAGAGACAAGTCGATGCGGCTGTATAAGACATGAATAGACGATACATTTTAAAGCATTAACCAAAATGGTAAATGTCTATACCTATATAGGAAAATACTTGCGGATAAACACAGCAGTTATTGACGGTCGATTTTCTATTAAGATTCGAGCATACACACCTCCACGTTTACGGCGCGCCGTTAGCGATATCATTCTAGTCAGCCGTAGAAGCGAGTTCAAGTTTGCTCCATACACGACTCGATATTAAATGTCTTGATAAATCGTAAAACAACCTAACACATATTTCCAAAAACGCAATATATATACATATATATATATCTGTTGAGTATTACGTTCGATTTTCACTGGATGCTCCACACTTTCAGCCTTGTGCCACATCGACGTTACGCTTAGAAGGTCATTTTGGGTATCTCGACGTGGTGAAATGGTTAGTAAACTTGTCTCACTAGAACAATTACGATTGAATAGACAGTTCGATCCTCACTGGGCGCGCCTTTCTTTCGGCCTTGTGCCACATGTAAGCTATCACATAGCTTATAATATATAAAATTATGCATATGTATCTATAGATGTTCAGGTTTAGGTCAATATTTCTTAAGGTTATATATGCTTGCGTATTCATATAAGTAAAAACATATTAAACATGCATAACTTACTTGCCTACAAGTTTTCTAAAAGGTGAAACATGCAACTGCACAGGGAAGTGCACATGCACAACATAATAAAAGTGCACAAAAATGCACAAACGTTTCTTATTGCATAGTGTAATGCTGGAAGTTGAGAGATGTTAGCCTACAGGGTTCCTAAATGTAAAATCTATGTTTGAATATGTCCGTTATTATATATCTATGTATTAATATATAGATATATAATAATATATTAATACGTACACAGTCACGCTCGCATACACAGCGAAAAAACAAAAAAAAAATATTTGTATAACTTTCATATTTGCATCAATATCAACGGAAATGTAAATGTATGTGTAATTAAATATATACACACATTTATATATATATATATATATATATATATATATATATATATATTTATATATATGTATGTATGTATATATATATATGATTGCATAGTTACATTTCTGTGTTAGCTGTTGAGAAAAACAACAACAACAACTACAGCAAAGGCATCGAACGCACTTGGTCACGAAGAGTTGAATCAACACGAATACTAAATGTATTACATAACTACTAAAAGTCCTTGAATTCTCCACATTGTTTTGATCACTCTCCCGCACGCACCCACCAACATATGCGGGAAAACACATACACAGCATCTCATAGTTACATGCATATTGAATAAGAAATGTAATGAGAACCGGAGTCTTCGGTGAAACACCGTTCTGGAGCCAGGATTTTAATTTATACCGAACGACAAGAGGGATATAAATCGTGCCACCATTTTAGGATAAACAGGAATTATTCGACAGACAAACAAACGGATGTATGTGTTCTTTAGTCGAAAAAAAGAGAAGCGAAGAAGACGTACAATGTATTTCTACTTATCATTCTATGACAACACTCACGCTTGTATTAATGTATACCCACACACACACCACGCCCATACACTACATTACACATACAGTATATAGCTGCACCCACACAAGTACCATGCACTGGTATCCCTAGCGTGATATTTCCACTAAAAAAAAAAAAAAAAATAAATAATAATACCTATCACTACATGCATATATATAACACTCACAAATGCACCCTCATGCACATCCTGCATATCGGATTTGTAGGGAGTTGCACAGAAAGGTGCATATACGTTTAGATAAATCAGGGGCCTATCTACTATATACTAAAAGAGGTACTATAAATAAATATTAAAATTAATCTAGGCGTACCGGAAAAAAAAAGTAACGAAAACGTCCCCATCCAAAAAAAAGTATTACATATATATATATATATATTTATATATTTATATATATATATATATATATATAGGAAAAAAATAGTTAAAAAAAAGAAAAAGAAAAAAAGTCTTCATAAAAATGAAGTTTTTTGTTAAGGTACCAGCCTTAAGAATCGAACGCAAAACCTTGACACTATTATATCCGGTAATATATGAACTACATAATGGATTTATATTTTTCTAGACGAGTAATTGGTTTATATATTAAATTAAGTAGAAGACTTTAAAAAAAAAAAAAAAAAAAAAAAAAGAAAAAGTGGGAATAGAA